TTTGTGTAAAACTAAAAAGCATATTGAAACTAGAAAGTAGAGTTCAATATTATCATCCTATTATGAATTTTAGTTTCTAAGTGTATTTTTTCAATTTCACAGACTGAGGAGACTTGTCATAATTTCAAGATGTCGAAAAAATGAAATAGAAACTTTAGCACTGTGTACACTTGGCCCAAGGCAGTTATTTCTTTATTCTCTGTAGCTTTTGTTATAACATTAGCTAGGATTTGGCTTTAGGACTCCTGGTGTGGCACTGTAGGTTCAGCACTGGGCTATGAACCACAAGTTCAGCGGTTCAAACCCACCAGCTGCTTCTTGGAAACCCTGTACAGGGTTGCTATGAGTAGGAACCGATTTGATAATACATAACAACAACAATAATCTTCTCATTAAATTGTACTTAAGAAAAGAAAATCAACCCCTTATCATTTCAAGGGAAAAATATAAAGGTCAAGACTTCTTAAAACTCATTCCAGTTTTCTACCTGTTGACTCATACTGGTTTTTTTTTAGTCTATAGAAAAAAACCCTGTACTGTAAACTTGATGACTCTTCTTTCTGAAGCCAGTACTACTATCTGTATGCTGAAAACAACAAGCTAACCTATGAGGATGCTGCCAATACAGAAAGTGGAAAGACAGCTTACTCAACATTTATTGGACATCTACTTTGTGCCTGACACTGTGTTAGGTGGCATAAGAAATACAAACATAATTGGTTTCCATCTGCCAGAGCTTACAGTCTAGAAAAATCACAGACTTGTAGAAACATACAGTGTGCTCTTTTCTTCAATGGAGGGCAGATGTTATATGGAACACAGAGGAGAGACTAATACCAGTGTGGGTAGGAGGCTGCTTATAATTTAGACTCTATCATTTCCTGGATTTGTGGCCTTGAGCAAATTACTTCTTAACTGCTTTGAGCCTCAGTTTCTTCAGTTGAGAATGGAGATGGCAATCCCTGTATGCATGTTTCCTGACTCTCTAAGAACATTTGTTGGAAAGAATGATGTCATGAATCATATTGACCATGAGTTGGACTTTAAGAGAAGGGAAGGCTCATATGTGTTGAGGTAATCAGAGGTAACTTAACAAAGAAGACGGGATGTAAGGGGCAAGATTTACAAATGAGGACAAGAAAGGTATGGACTATGGGGAGGGGAATCTCCTTGCAAGATGGGCATGTCATAAGATAGGAAGTGCACGTGATGTATTCATGAGTAGACACATCTGGAATTACAGAAGAGAGAATTACTTGGGGGACCAAAGGATGTGGTGTCAGCATCAGACTACAGGGAGTCCTGAATGCCATCCTAGGGACTTAGGACATTAGAACTTCAGGGGCCTTGGAGATCGCCTCGTCTAAAGCTTCATTTTACAGATAAGGATATTGAGACTCAGGAAACTTACGCAAGGCCATGTGGGTAGTAAGATTCTTAGGTGACCGTCTAGTGTTATTTCCATGCTGCACTAGTATTCTAGCCTGGTGCTTTGGAAGCCCACATTTCCCTAGAGAGTCCTCATGCCCACCCCTTGGTAAGTGGTGAGAGAGGAAGTTAGTCTGATAGGACCATGCTAACCTACCAGTTTGGTGTAGACTAGGTGATGGCATGAACTTTTTCACTTGGAATTTTAAAAGACCTTCTCCAGTATAAAAAGAGAAAAAAATTCTCTATTTTCAAAATATCACTCCATAGCATGCTATTTGGTTTTTGCTTTTTTGGTAGAGTGGAACCTTTGAAGATTTAAAAATAGTAAGATAAGTTAAGGAGTGTTTGTGAACAATTAGATTGGCTATTAGTGTAAGAGTTAACGAAGCAAAAAGTTGGAGACAGCTTAAAGGTCTGTCAGTGGAAGAATGAATACATTTCTATTTTCTCCTTTATTATTTTCTTTTCATTGTTGCTTTCTTATTTGCTTATTCAGTTTAGTTTTCTTGTGTTTGGTGTTGGGAGGTGGTTCCCCCTCTTTCCCATCCAACAGGAGACAGCAACTGTGCCCATACAGCCCAGATGCATTAAAAAGATGGAGACAACCTTAATGCCCATCAACAGAATGGTTTTAAAAAGTTTGGTACATATACACAATAATAGAATACTATGTGACGTTTAAGAATGAAGATGAATCTACAAAACACCTCACAACCTGGATGAACCTGGAGGACATTATGCTGGATGAAATTAGTCAACCACAAAAGGCCAAATGTTGTATGAAACCAATGATGTAAAAAACCAAGAAAAGGTTTTTGTGCAAAAAGACATGTTCTTTGATGGTTTTCAGAAGTGGGAAGGGGATAAAAAATAATTCATTAGCTAGAGGTTAGACACTCAGTAATTCATTAGCTAGAGAGTGTTAACTCAGGTGTCAGGGAGGGCATTTTACCAGGGTGAGTCAAAAAATTATTCCCACTCTGACTGTACAATTTATTTTAATCAACTTTTAGAAAAGACAAATCATTTTTTACATAATCTCCTTGCTTTTCAGTACACTTTGTCATCTGTCAATAAGCTTTTATATTCCCTTATTAAAAAATATTTTAGGCTGAGCTGCGAACCACAAGCCATGAATGCACCACTGTCTTCATTTTGTCATCAGAGTTGAATCTTTGCCCTCAAAGGGCTGCTTTCAGGGGATCAAACACGTGAAAGTGTGATGGAGCAAGATCGGGACTATAGGGAGGATGCTTTAGCACCTCAAAACAAAAGTTTTTCAGAGTGTCAACAGTGTGGGCAGAGGTCTGTGGACGTGCACTGTCATGCAAGATCACGGTACCCTTAGATAGCAGTCTTCTGTGTTTAATCTGAATGTTAGGCTTCAACTCCTCAGTAAGCATCTCACTCTAATGAGCACTATTGATTGTTAAACCTTTTTCCTGATAGCTGTTCCAAAACTGTCCCTTGAGATTCTCAGAAAATTGTAACTATGAATTTTGCAGCTGATAGTTGACTTTTCAACTTTTTCTTGGTCAGTTTCCTGAGAGTAAATGGCAGAGTACGGAATGGAAACATGCTCAGTCGCCAACCAAGAAAAAGTTCAAAAGTTCAACCACTACAAATACACCTGTGAATGTGGTGGAGTCTACAGAGGGCAATATGAGGAAAACTTCTTAGATATCATCAAACATCTTAAGACAATGAGTTGCTGGACCTGGTCATTTGGTATAACATAATCCAGACATACAATGTTGTACATTGTAGTTTGGTAAGTAGTGCCTGGGGTCTTAAGAGCTCATGAGCGGTTATCTAAGGTACAACTACTGGTCTCTCCATGTGCAGAAAAAGGAAGCATGATGAAGATTGAAGATGTTTGGAATCAACTAGTTAGGTGGATCAATGGAACACACAGACATCAACCTCCACAGCTCTGAGGACAGAAGAACTAGATGGTATCTAGTTACCGCTACCCACTGCGCTGAAAGGGATCACATCATAAGGTTCTGGACAGAGTGGGAGAAAATGTGAAACAGAACTCAAAATTATTTAAAAAAAAAAAAAAAAAAGACCACGCTTACTGGTGAGAAAAAAATGGAGGAATCTGCGACTATGGCCCTTGGCCACCCTTCAGGTCTGGACCAGACTCACCTTCATGACCCAATTTTCAGCCAAGCAGTAAATAGGTATTCTTTACAGGGGATAACAAGACTAGTCAGGTATGCTTACCACAGAATGGTTAATCATTCAAGATCAAAAGGGCAACATTTACCTAAGGACAAGTTGAGAGGGGATAGGAAGGTGGGTGGAAAGGAAATAGGAACCACAGGGAGGAAGTTGGATAACTGTTCTTGAGTCTGGGAATTGTTATCATTGAGATGAAACAAAGTGTATGATTTGTTGAATGTAAAACTCAATTCACAATAAAAAGCTTAAAAAAAAAAAAAAAAAAAAAAAAGGGATAGCTGCAATTTAGATGCAAATGAAAGTCAATTCTTTGCTAGAATCGTTGGAACACTGCATTTCATGTTTTCTGTTCTTAAGATTCACAACCTCCTTATAAACACCTTATAACTAGTGGTTACTTTATAAATAAACATCTAGCTGTCGTAAGAATAATGGATCACTACTCCAGACACCCAGGAGACCTGCTAGTTTTCTAGGCTTAATGTTTAGACTTGCCTGATCCTTAATGCCCTTGACATGTTTTAAGTTTGAAGAATTTCAAAGTTTCCTTTCTGTCTTTACAACTGTTCATTTTGACCTCATGAGGGAGATTAACAGAAGGGATAGTGCAAAGAGGATATATATATATATATTACAGCTCAGAGATGATAAAATGTGGCCTTTGAATTAAATATGATTTATCAAGCAGATTGGCAGGAGTCAAGCGTGATCCTTGATATTCAAACTTGCAAAATCCAAAGCTGACTACCTGAAACTATATTATATCCAAAGCAAGTTTTTCCTTCCAGCTAGAGTTCTGGACAACCGTCATCCTAAAAAGGCAACTCTTGCTTTATAGGCAATCAATCAAACAAAAAAATTGTTCACTTACTCTGTGTTGTTGGGTTTTGCAGACTAGATATGGTACACAAATATATGTGGGGGCAGGTGTGGTATATGTGTGTATGTCTGTGTCATTTCATTTAATCTGCAGAACAGCCTGTGAGTCTCACTTCATAGCTAGGAAACTGTGACTCAGAGCATTCTGTAACTTGCCAGACATGACATAACTAATATTGCTAAAGCTATGATTTCAAACCAGGTCTGTGTAACTCAACAGAGATCTGCCTTCTGGGGCAAAGAGCCTGGGCTCAGGAATATCCAGAGAGGCATTTTCAGGGGAGAGTGTTGTGCCCAACTTGACTCTAGTCCAATGCTCCTAAAAGTAAGTAGAAAAATAAGACTAGAGAAGCAAGTGATCAAAGGCTCCCAGCTTGAGACCATGAAGTCCGAAACTTTTTGGCCAAATGCAAGTGGCGCACACACTAAGAATAAGATATCCACCTAGTGCTCATTGACTAGTCCTTTGAGAAGTCAAATGCTCCCTTTCTGTTTCTTTTCAGCTCTTTGTGAGAGAACCTGAAAAGAGGTTGGGAGTGAGGGGAGACATCCGCCAGCATCCTTTGTTTCGAGAGATTAACTGGGAAGAGCTTGAAAGAAAGGAGATTGAACCACCTTTCAAACCTAAAGTGGTAAGACTCATGTGTGCGGAACATTTCTTTTCAGCCGTTCATCATTTATTCATTGACTGCCTAGCTGCCCTAGTAACAGCAAGGCAATTCCTCATCCTGCCCCAAGCCCTCCTCCAGGGTTCTGGCACAGGCCAGGACCTGTTTTTGAAAGAATGTGCTTTAACCACAAAACAAACTAGTTGTTAACACAACTCCAACTCATGGTGAACTGTGTTCCATAGGGTTTTCAAAATTAGATCTCCATGTTTTTCTCCTGAGGCGCTTCTAGGTGGATTTGAACCTCAACCTTTTGGCTAATAGCCAAGCATGTTAAACATTTTCAGCACATAGAGACTCCTGTTTAACCATAACGCTGGCTGTTTGGCTGGCAAGGGGCCTGGGGAGATGTTATACTTATTAGCAAAATTTGACCTCTTTGTCAATATGTACCTGAACAGAGAATGGATAGCTAAATCTACATGCCTTGAGCTGAATACATGTGTATGCACAGTAACTGTCATGTTCCTATAATACATGCATACTTAGTGGTCACACACTGCAAGACCCAAAATTGTACAAAAATCTTGTATCCTATTTCAAGAATTTGGGAGTCATTATTTTTTCCCATCATATTTATTAAAGTTGATCTAAGGTTTGCAATTTGTTTCACACAGTTACACTTCTTGGTGACAATTCTTAGGTGTTCTTGAAAAGAAAGAAATAGTTTAAAAGAAAAAAAGAAACAAACTAATGGTAAGGAAAAGACAGATATCTAAATTCCCATGTGACCCTGCAGTTACTAGCAAGACGCTCTGGTAGCACAATAGGTTAAGCATTAGGCTGCTAACTAGACGGTTGTTAGTTGGAACCAACTAGCCACTCCATAAGAGAACAGTGAGGTCATCTGCTTCCAGGAAGATGTGCACTGTCTGAAGCCCTGTGGAGCTGCTCTACTCTGCCCTACAGGCTTGCTGTGAGTCAGAATTGGCTTGACAGAGTGGGTTACACTCACCTACAGGTGGAAAGATAGCACCACCAGGGTCATTCATACACAGGACAAGTCTCCATAAAGTGACAAGATAAGTGAAGCAAAATTTAAAGGAACCCTGGTGGCACAAACAGGTTACTAACCAAAGGTTAGCAATTTGCCCCTGGTGTATCACTATAGGATAAGCACTGGACTACTAACTACAAGATCGGCAGTTCAAACCTACCAGTCACTCCTCAGAAATCCTATGCAGGGTTGCTATGAGCCAGAACCAAATTCCACACCACTTACCAAGTGGTTCCCTGGGGGAAGGCCTGGCGATGTGACACCATATAGATTATAATCAAGAGAAACCTGTGGAGCATTTCTGCTGTCACATGGGGCTGCTGTGAGTGGAAACTGACTCAACAGCACCCAACAGTAACAAATGGTGTGAAAATAAATTTCCATTAAGAGTAAAGCACAGTTGGTGGATTTTGCCAGTGTTTCCTCTCTCTAGAGATTGCTTAGGAATAAGGTAGTAATCAACTAAGTGAAGTTAAGTGTCATCAAGTCAGTTCCAACTCATAGCCACAGTGTATAGGGTTTCTGAGGAGTAGCTGGTGTGTTAGAACTGCTGACCTTGCGGTTCACAGTCTGGTGCTGATCCTACAGCGCCATACCAGAATCAACTAGGTGGACATGAACAATCTCAGTCATGTCTATGTAGAGCACGCCACAAGCTCATGGGCTTCCCAGCAGAGTGTTCATCCTAGAAAATAGCTGCTGTGAGCTTCGTTCCTAGTATTAGCATGATCACTGTCAATTTTCATCCCAAAGCTCTGGGTATTCCTACAGACTAGTGCTCATTGTTTGTAACAGTACCCTGTCTCATAACACAAAATAATCATTGGTTTATGACCAAATGAGTTTTCACCTCACTGTCGCTAATCAGGACAATTCATATCTCACCTTCCATTTCAGAGGAAAATTGACTTGCTATTTTCCACTTAAGAATCAGAACTTTCATTTAAGCTTACCTTGTAGGACAAGTTCTGATTCCACTAGTAAGAAGGAATTTCCCTGAGTAGGTATTTGAAGGTAGAGGTCAATACCATTAGACTCAACAGTCCATAGGCCCTATGTGAGCAGGAAGGTCCTGACGCTTAATTATGTTCAGTAGTTGGAATGGGTTATTTAGAGAATGATTGTTCTTAGTTATAGAAAACTTTGTTATATGCCATTTTACCCATATTTATGCATAGGTGTTTGCTTTTGTTTGTTTGTTTGTTTACCATGGGGACCAATGAGTCATTTGGTCTGAAGAGAGCTTGCCCCAGTCTGTGCCATCTATGAAAGACAGTCCAATATCTTACAATAAAATTAAAATTAATATGGGTGGGGGAGCTAATGGTAGTAAAGGATGCTGATTTAAAAAAAAAAAAAAGAATAGGCAATCTGCAAAATTGCTCCTCTCTTCCATTCTTCCCTTTGCCTCCCTCTAACCCTCTCTGGCCCTCAGTCCCAAGTAAACTAAGAGACCAGGGGTCAAATCTGCCTCACCATTTTTTCAAAGATTACCAGTCCTATGTCACATAATGTTAGGATGGTCATTGTTGTTATTGTAAGTGCCATTGAGTCGGTTCTGACCCGTAGCAACCTGTATAGGGTTTCTGAGGAGAAGTTGGTGAGCTTCAACCTCCAATCTTGTAGTTCAAACTGACTTTGCAGTAGAGTGCATTAACCCACAGTACCACACCAGGACTCCAGGATGGTCAGTAGAGGCAATAAATCGTATTTGAACCTGTATCAATGGAAGTCTGTTATGTGAGTTGATTGTACTATTGATAAAATAGAGAGGGACATTGGTGATTCCATAGTAGAATTCTCTTCAGGAGACCAAGGTTCGAGTCCCTGGTCTCAAATGTACCTCACATGTAGCCACCACTTGTCTGTCAGTGAATCTTGTGTGTTGCTATGATGCTAAACAGAAAGTTCCAGTGGGACTTCCAGACAAGGAAGAAAGGCTTCTGATCCACATCCAAATATCAGCCCATGAAAACCTTATGGATCACAGCAGTACATTCCTATTGTGTGGGGTCCAACTCAAAGGCAGATAACAATAGTATCATTGATCAAATCTTGGTATCAGACAGACAAGAAAAAGCTGCACATGACAGTCTATGGGTGTCACTTTGGGTTAGTTTATCTGCAGACACCAGCACTGTCATACAGAGATTATAGCCTAGGTAACAAAAATTAAGGTAACAAATTTAGTGACTGACTTTCTTCCCTTTTGTTCCCCCCTTAAATTTTGACCAAGAAATCACCATATGACTGCAGCAATTTCGACAAAGAGTTCCTGAATGAGAAACCCCGGCTGTCGTGTGCTGACAGAGCGCTCATCAACAGTATGGACCAAAACATGTTCAGAAACTTTTCTTTCATCAACCCAAGGATGGAGAGGCTGATATCCTGAATCCCCATTCTCCAGAGACACAGAGGAACTTGCTGTTTCTCTATGAACTGCTTCAAGCGACACTTCTTGAGTTCCTATTTCAACTTGGAAAGGAAAAACACTCATCAATAAAGGTTGAGACCTTTTAGCTCCTCCCGTGACTTTTTATCTGTAGCAGAAACTAATGAATTCCTTTGGTTTATCCCCTGTCATCTTTGCTAGAAACTCTTGAAGTTGGCTGTGGTATTCAAATGTGGCACTTCAGACCCCATCCCATGATAATTTACTTGAAAGACAACTCTCCCTACTGTGAAAGATTCGAACACTTAGAACTTCTCTAAATCCCTGGTCCATGTGCTGATCGTTGGAAGATTTGTTGAAGCCAGGTGCAAACTGAGTGCATACTTCTCAAGACTCAAACAGCGTGTTCCCCGTGTGATAGTGGCTTTCATTCCACCTTAGTCAAGTAATCACTAACCCATCCTGTACATATCTGTGGGCGTATGTAAATGGTGGAAAGAAATAGGGAAGCCCTGAATAGTCACAAAATGTTCATTGGAATTCTTCACAATAAACATAGCTTACACCTAAGATTTATAAATCCACTCATTTTGATTAATCAGGAGCTTCACAAGAAAGAGAAAAATGGTAAGTGAGAAGAACTCTCCTGTCGCTGATAGTGGAGGTTTAATAGCACAATTGCTCTGGTTATCTTGTCAACATGGAAATTAAATTTAGAGTCCACCAAATATAGTAGCATTTTACTCCCACCATCAAACCTCTCCATCTATCCATTCTCCGTTTTCTAGTGTCAATAGTAGTCATAGTCACCTATTACCATCCTCACATTACAACAAGAAAAGAAATGAAGTGGATAATACTTCACAGAAAAAAGAAAAGCAATCCCTTATTAAACCGTCACTGATGTTTCAATGACTCGTGAGTCTCTCTGTAGGCATCATTCAGAAAAAAGGTCTGTGCACGTCACTTGCAGTAGTCAATCTCATTGAATTAGAATTCTAGGTATGTCTTTAAAGTAGCTGTGTTATTTTGATAAAATGTTATGACTTGACGAAGAGGTGGATGTATAAAAATCAAATAAAAAGAGAACAAGGAGACTTTTCATAGTGTTGTTCCTAGCCTGTCCTTCAAGAACTTCATTCGATCCATGTTTATCATCAAAATGTAGCTATCATTCAGGTGATGCTTAAAAATTAGGGAATCATTAGAAGTTCCCAAACAGCTAAGAAATTCAAAGAATCCTCAAGTTGCTGTCTTTACAGTTCTCTTTCTCTTCTTCACAAGTTGACTTTTAGACCTTGGGAATGGCCTACGTTTGCTGTCTCTACTTCTCTTCTACCCCCATATGACTCTGCCCTCAAATTGCCAACACTGCTCCCACCAAGGACTAACTACCAATCAGCCCTGGTGGAAGCTCCCTAGACCCCATCTACCTTTCTGCAGTATTTTATATCAAGAAAGCCTCTCTCTCAGAGCCTACCCCATCAGATGCTCTGAAACTGTATTCCCCCATTTCATTCTTTTCATCTTTTGAGTCCTCCTTAATGACTCCCTTTTCTCCTCTTCCTTAAATCACTTCTGAGTCTCCTTCCCTTCTCTCCTTTCATTTTTCCTTGGAACTCTCCCACCTCAGCCTTCAAGGGCCATCCAGTCCAGATAACCACAAATCCACATCTCCATTTCTAACCTCTCTGACAGGCTTCAAGCAGGGTCCATTAACAGTGTGTCTCCAAGTAAACTCATCCTATCTTCTTAACAACTCTACCTTCCTCATGTACTTTCTATTTCTGTTAATGACACTACTCAGACTCAGGTTATGTATAAAATGTAGTTTCTACATTCTCTTCACAAATTGAGGCTTTTAGCAAATGACATTCATGTCCAGAACTCCTTGTAATTCCCACTCCTGAACCCCCACTCAAGGCCACCAATTGTATTCCAGGATAAGTTTTCTACCTTTAACTTTCATTTCTGTCTTTCACTCACTGCACTCCAGCCAAACTAAATTTTTTAGCATTACTTGTGAAGAAAAGGAACCGAAGAGGCCCAACTGCTAACCAAAAGGTCAGTGGGCCGAACCCACCCAGTGCCTCTGCCAAAGAGACATGATCTGTACTCGTATAAAGCCTACAGCCTAGGAAGCCTTACAAGACAGTTCTACTCTGTCCTGTGGATCAGAATCGTCTTGACAGCAAACAACAACCTGGAAGAACCAATACCCATCTTGTCTTGTCTCTGGGCCACACTGATGCTAATCTGTTGGCCTTTTCACACATCCCCACATGTCCAAAGTCTGCCTGTCCTTCAGGATACAATTTAAATGACAAATATGCCATCAAGTACCTCCCCTCAGCCCTTCCTTTCTGATCCCCCACATGAGCTAACATATCTCTCACCTCCACAAGCTCTTATAGCATCATCTTTCCTATATCTCTCTTATGGAACTCACCATTTCTTATCAAGCTATAAATATTATGGTCTGCCTCCCTTACTAGGCTAGAAACTCATTTGACAACAGGATTCCTGTCCAATTCACTTTCATACTTCCCACAGTTCCTTGTGCATGTTAGTGCTCAAAAATAGTAGTTGAGTGAATAAATACATGGCTGCATTGTGTAGTGGGTTGAATTGTGCATCCAACCCCTGAAAGATATGTTCATGCCGACTCTGTGAATGTGGGCTTATTTGGAAATGACAGGGGGAGGTCTTTAAAGATGCAACTCTGATTATCCTGGATTATCCAGATGTGTCCTCAATCCGATGACAAGCATCTGTATAATAGAAAAGGCAAGAGGTAGACTTGACATAAACATATAGTCATGTGAAGGTGGAGGCAGAGATTGGAGTTACTTATAAAGCCACAAAGGAGTGCACGGGCTAAGTATGATAAGCACTGTACTGTGAGCCAGAAGGTTGGTGGTTCGAGGCCACCAGCCTTTCCTTGGGGGAAAAATGAGACTTTCTACTCCTCCAAAGATTTAGAACCTCGGGAAACCTACACATGAGTCAGAATCAACTCCACAGAACTTCAAAATGCAGCCACAAGTTAAGGAACACCTGAGCCACCAGAACCTGGAAGAGATGAAGGATTCCCTTGTAGAGCATCCAAAGGAATCACAGCCCTGCTGACACCTCAACTTCGGAATTCTGGCCTTCAAAACTGTGAGAGAATAAATACTGCTTTTCATTTGCATTTTTTTCTTTAAATCCAGTTATTCTGGTCTCATGGCACAAAGAAGTAGGTCATGAAAATAACCACATATTCTATATCCTCCTCCTATTCCAGAATGTCCTTCTTTTGTTGCTCCAGGTGAATAGAGACCAACTGCTATGCCTTAGATCAGAAATGGGGAATGTCTGACCTGTGGGCTATATTGTTGTTGTTAAGTGCCATCGAGTCGATTCCAACCCATAGCAACCCTGTATAGGGTTTCCAAGGAGCATACAAGTGCATGAAGGGACAGACACATATGTTTCTCATTGCCTGCCCATGGTCCATCTGCCTGTATTATGGTGACACAGAGGATCATCAGTGCCAGGCAGACTGGGAGTGCACACGCTGTGAAAGTGCTAACACAATGCAGCAAAACTACAATGATCTGGTGATGATGAAACGAGATGTGATGAGCTGATTCCAAGCGATGTTGATTATCTTGCCTCCAATGACTGATGACTATGGTGCTGACACAGACGATAACACCAACACCATCTTTAGCCACATGTCCACAATCAACAATCCTCACAAAAACCAAATGTCAGATGAAAATTAAAAGAAATTACAGTACAGAGAAAATACCTCAAGAGTCAATGATAAGAACATTGGATATGCTACAAATCCTACAAATCCAATATGCAGGATTTAGAACAGCAATCAAAGCAAAGTAATCACATAGCTGGTGACACACTGGATAGTTATTACACACATAAGTGGTGTGACATCCTTCAAATGGTGGCTACAAAGAAAAGAGAAGTTGATGCAGAGTGTCTGTCTTTCCAAGAAAAATGGGCAAATGATTGTTGTTGGGTTTTTTTTTTGTTGTTGAAGTCAAAGACAAGCCTGTGTGCCTAGTTTGTGACAATGCATTCTCAGTAATAAAAACAGCCAACCTGGAATGTCATTACAGCTCAAAACATGCTACCCTTAATGAATTGGGAGGCCAAATGGATCTGCATAAAATCCATGCTCTTCTGTGGAGTGTGAAATCACAAGTCACTTTCATTAAGTCTCTTTGTGTCAGAGACAAGTTATTCTGATGAATTTGTAGTGAGCGTGCTAATTGCCAAGAAGCTGAGGCCTCTTTAGAGGGAGAGTTTGTAAAAAAAAAAAAAAAAAGTGTGTGGTTGTTAGCACCAGACAAAATAAAACTGTTTCAGTTTAGTTGGTCTTGGAGAACAATCTCAGATCAGATTACTGATTTAGCACAAGATAGTGAAAAAACATTCAAGGATTCTGCAGATTTCCTATTTTTTTCTCTGGTTTGTGATGAGACAACAGACATAATAAATACTGCCCAACTGGCCGTTCTCTTTCCTGGCATAACTGTAGAGTCTGACACACATGGCACTACAAGAAATGAGGACTTGTTTGACAGACTTTTGTTTAATCAGTGAAAAAACTTGAGCTAACGTTTGAAAAGTTAAGAGGCCTTAGTACAGATGGAGCTCCAGCCATGGTTAACTCACAAAAAGGGTTAATTGCATTTGTCAAGCAAGAAAGAATGAATTGTTCAGTTATAATCTAAGTGATGTTATTATAAGCCACTACATCATACTCCCATCAAGTCTCAGTGCACAGTCATTACTGCTCAACAATGTGATGTCAACAGTAGTGTCATGCAAAAATTTAGTCAAAAGCAGACTGTTTAACAGCCATCGGCTTAAGGAGTTACTTAATGATCTTGACTCTGAGTAAGGGAATCTTGTTTAGCACTGTGGAGTGTGGTGACTGAGTCACAGGAACATGCTCATGAGGTTTTATGAACTGCGGGATGAAGTGAAGCAGTTCATGGAGACGAAGGGAAAACGTATCAGGGAACTCAAGTGGCTGTGTGATCTAGCATTCATGGTGGACATTAACAAGTACCCCTCAGTGCTGAACGTCAAGCTGCAGGGCCCCAATCAGCTTCTCAGCGCTCCGATTTCAAATGTGAAATCATTTGAAGCTAATTAAGGTGTGGAAAGTGCAACTCAAAGGAATAACAAGGAGCAGTTCCTCACTC